ATCTATCTATCTGCACCTATCTATCTATCTGCATCTATCTATCTATCTATCTATCTATCTATCATCTATTTATCTATCTATCATCTATTTATCTATCTATCTATCATCTATCTGCATCTATTTATCTATCTATCATCTATCTATCTATCTATCTATCTATCTATCTATCTATCTATCTATCTATCTATCTATCATCTATTTATCTATCTATCATCTATCTGCATCTATCATCTATCTATCTATCTATCTATCTATCATCTATCTATCTATCTATCTATCATCTATCTATCTATCATCTATCTGCATCTATCTATCTATCTATCTATCTATCTATCTATCTATCTATCTATGTCTCACTCTCACTCTCTCTCTCTCATCTCTCTATCATCTATCTTGATATATCTGCTGTCTACATGTTTCTGTCATTTATATCTGTCTGTCTGTCACTCTCCCATTCTCTATCCCTATTGATCTATCAACTATCTCCATGTATCTGTCTGTCATTTATATGTCTCTCTACTTCTATCATCTATTATCAATAATTATCATTTATCTCTATCATCTATTTGTCATCTATATTTACCTATCACTGTCTATCTAGCCATCGATCTAGTTAGCAATATATCTATATCTGCCATCTATTTACCTGTCAACTCACTCTCTATGTCTGTCTGCCTGTCTATCTATCTCTATCAATCTTGTTTATCATCTACCTATCATCTCTCTACATCCATCCATCCATCCATCCATCCATCCATCCATCCATCTCTACCTACCTACCTATGTACCTACCTCCACCTATCTCTCCATCCCTAGGGGAACAATAAATCATCCAATTCCTTCTTGAGTGAAGAAGACACACACACACACACACCCCATTAATGGAGGTGCCTGAAATCCAAACCTTGGAAGGGGTGATAGAAACAGAAGTTCGAAGAAGTGTCGTTCCCTCCCTCATAGCCCACCCGATGTGTCCCAGAACCTCCCCTCTCTTGGTGTCCTCCTTAACTCAAGAAGCAGGACCTGGAGAACGTGGCCTCCTTCCTCGGACGGGGCCTCCTCCTACGTGCCACCACTTACTTAAGGAAACGCCTGGCTGGCTGGTTAAGGAATGAATGAGGGCCAAGTCCAGAGCAGACAGCTTGATTCATAAACAAATTAATGCTGAACGATATCGTTTCCAAAAGAAAAGGCACCCAGTTAGAATATGAATTGTGGCTTAGGCAGCGAGAGATTGATTGGGCTGTTGGAAAACAAATGCCAGCCACGGAAGTAACGAACTCAGGAATGAGGAGGAAAAATGGAATTCACACCAAAAAAGAATCAGGAAAAAAGCGAAGGAAGCTGAATCAAGAAGCTACATTGGGGCAGGGATCAAGATGATCCTTTTGGGGCCTCCAGAAAGTCAACTGCATGGTAGCCACCATAACTGCTAAGTCTAGACCAGGGGTCTCCAACCTTGGTAACTTTAAGACTTGTGGACTTCAACTCCCAGAATCCTCAGCCAATTCTGGGAGTTGAAATCCACAAGTCTTAGTTACCAAGGTTGGAGACCCCGGTCTAGATGACACTCTTGCTCCTTGACTTCATTCATTCTGGTCTCAGGCTGTCCACGCATGATGAACGGTTGCAGGAACCAGATGGAAAAGCTACTCGCTACTTTGAAAAACTACCTCGTCCTCTTCTTTCTTCAGGAGCACCAGAAATTGAGCACCGGAGAGGTTACTCTAAAGGAGAGAGGCTAAGGTCCACCTGGAATCTCTTCTACCTCCTACAATTCTGGGAGTTTGAAGTCCACCTGTCTTCAAGTCGCCACGGTTGAGAAAAGCTGGCCAGACCTTTGATGACATGAGATTAAAGCAGAGAAAGGAGGGGAAGGTTAGTCCCACCAAAGACTCCAAGGGATTCTATCCAAACTGGGTTTTAGAAGCGCGGATGGACAGGGTCCCTGGTAGATCCGCCGAAACATGCAGACCCCTCTCTCCTTATAAGAGAAGCATCCCTGCCTTCCCCAGATGCCCCATCATCCACCTGGCACGTTAGTCTTCCAGTTCATTTCCCAACCATCAGCTCCAATTAAATCGTAGCGAAATCAAGGCCGCCGTTTCAAACATCGGTGGACGCGAGGATTGATTAACAGTCATCTGAAGTCAACATCAAGTTGGGGATGGCTCCGTCTTCATGGCCTGTCATTCAAGTCCAAGCGGAGAGGGAAGATAAGAAAACAGGGCACACGACTCGGGCCTTGGATGGAGAAGATCTGAATTACAGAATCACAGAGTTGGAGGGGGCCCTGGAGGTCTTCTAGTCCAACCCCTGGCTCAGGCGGGAGACCTTCTACCACCCTGGACAAGTGTCGGCCCAGTATCTTCTTCTTGAAGACCTCCAAATGATGGTACTAAACGCAGCCGTCTGGCTAACAATCGTAACTGGGGCTTATTCTGGGGGTTGGGCTTATATTACGAGCATCCTGAAACAATCATGATAGGGCTTATTTTCCAGGTAGGTCTTATTTTCGGGGGAAATCCGGTCACTAAATGCGTGGGATAGGTCTTATGTGAAAATTTTCATTAGGACTTATTTTCACATAAGACCTATCCCACGCATTTAGTGACCGGATTTCCCCCGAAAATAAGACCTACCTGGAAAATAAGCCCTATCATGATTGTTTCAGGATGCTCGTAATATAAGCCCAACCCCCAAAATAAACCCCTTTAAGATTGTCAGCCAGACGGCCGCGTTTAGTAACCGTATTTCCCTGAATATAAGACCTAACTGGAAAATAAGCCATCCTGAAAAAACCACACCAGGGCTTATTAGCTCCATTCAGTTGTCTAGACTCCACCCCGCAAGGGATTAGGGGTCCTTAAAGGATGATTATTTTTATACATACATACATACGCATATTTATAATAATAATTTCATCTTTTAACAGTCCCCTAATCACACACACACACACAACGTGGTTGTTAAGCAAACGAGACCGTTGTAAAGCAAAGGCAGGGGTCAGAAAACAGCCTTTAAAAAGAGATCGAGCAAAAAAAATCCCTCTAATAAAACTCAAATCCCAACAAACTACACAAAAAGACAGGCTGTAAACAAACAACATATAAACTCCAACTAGGAGCACTTTGGATTGTTACTTACGTAATTAGCATGTTAACATATTTAATAACCTAATTAATGTAATATATTAATGTAATTAATAACAAGAAACACAAGAGAAGGGAAAATACTTCAATGCTCTGGGTGCATCATTTGCGTTTTCATTTTTATTCCAGATATAAAATGCATCAAATTAAGAGAAAAATAAAACCTCTCCAATTTTCCCCAGTCTTCTTTTTCCTCTCGTCCTTCTCCTTCCTTATTTTTCTTCCTTCTTTCTTTCTCCTTCTCCTTTTTAGCTCTTCTTTCCTTTTTCCTTCCTTCTTCCTTCTCTTTTTTTATCACGTGACTAGTGGGATAAGGAAGGAAGGAAGGAAGGAAGGAAGGAAGGAAGGAAGGAAGGAAGGAAGGAAGGAAGG